CAGAAGCCAAAAAAAATAAAATGAAAACTAATCTTTAGGTGACTAAATATTTAGTAGCTATCTTGATTCTATACAACTTTTGTTCTTTGAGTTTTGATCAATTCGAATTATTTAAGTATGAAACGGTGTAATTTTATATTTTTCTTTCAACAAGTTACTTATGATTAAATTATACTAACTTTATTTGTTTTGCAGGATGGTGGGTCTAACTAACTTTTTATGCAGGGCTGACCCACCATATTTTTTATTTCTATTTTGTCTATTCTATAATCAATTTATATTTCGTTGTGTACAGACAAGAAACTAAATGCCACCGTATTTCGGGAAACTACCCATTCGTCTCGGTACGGCTGGAACTACTTGTCTTGTCCCGTGGTAAGAATTAAATGTATTTTTGTCTGTGTCAGGTGGACACGTGGGTGTTAAATCTTGTACTCATACCAGTATACCTGTATACTGACCCATTTTGTCTCTTGGCAACTCGGGTGCGTTCTGTTTGAGCACAGCCGTGCTTCATTTGCAGGATTAGTTAAGGCTATGGTGGTGACCAGAAATAACTGTGATCGTAGGACATGTCGTTTGGACTTCTTTTATTTTCTTGAGCTTAGGGTTGATACTATTTTATGTGTTTTTTTTTATATGGCTTTAGTATTGGAATAATTTGGCATGGTTTGTAACCGTACTTTATTTAAGTTGTTTGGACTAGTTGCTACTTTAATGTTGGAGGTATTTGATAGTTATGAAATTGTGGTGGATGATTTGGTTGGCGTTTAATTTTTTTTGTTTCACCCCTGGGATTTGGATGATGGAATATTGATTGGGGTTAGTTCTAATTTAATATTTAATTATCCAAATTTTGGGGCGTGACATTTTGGCTACTAAAAAAAATTTAGTTGGCATTGATCAAACTTTGTCCATTAATTAGATTACTTTGTCAGTCCTCTCCCATTTCACTCTCTCATCATCCCTTTTCTCTCTCTCTCTTTCTCTCAGTCCATCACAGGCGACCCTCCTACCGACCACCGTCCACCACTGTCGCACACGAGCACCCACCTCCTCACCGGGGACGGTACAACCCACCTCCCCACCAGTGATGGTACCACCCATCTCCCCACCAGTGACAGACAATAGTAGCAACTTTGATTTGTGTCTCCTCCAGCACAGACCAGGTATTTTCGGCCTCTTTCTCTCTCTCTCTCTCTCTCTCTATATATATATATCTTCATCCAATTTCTATGGTTTTTTAATAACGGATTTTTTTTTTTTGGTTATAAATCAGAGAGTTAGAGCTTCTCTTCTATCTATTTCTCGCAAGAGCAGCATTTTTTCTCTCTATTTCTCGCTCGTAGCAACCATTGGAGCACACCCTGGTATTTTCCCTTCTTCTTCCCCTTCCATCCTCTCTCTCCCAACCATTGGAGCACACCCTGTTAAATCCAATTCATGCTTCTATTGTCCTACATAATGATTCTTAATTGTACTTCCATTCAATTCTAATTTTCTTTTAATCAATTAGTTTGTGTGTGATGATGTTGCTATTGTTGTTGTTGGTAGTTTATTTGTTACTGTTGTTTGGTCTATGCTTTTTATTGTTGTTGTTTTCCACCCTCTTGCTCACCATGTGTTTGACAAAATGTTGAAACGAAATTGGAATAGGCTCACTATTTACTTATTTGTTTGTTGTTATTCTTTATGTTTTGTTTGGCTAATCCCATGAGATTAAAGCTGTGACTTCTTGCATTCTCTCTCTGTGTTATCCTATTCTTTATAAAACCTAGATACTTTTGAAAAACTATTTATAAAATGCAACTTGTTTTGAATTTGTAGGCTCTTTGTTCAATTACTTAAATTGTTCATTTAATATGTCTCTCTATTTGTAGGCTACTTAATGAAGTTGAATTGTCACTGAGACAAGTTACTAGATCTTTGGCCCTTTCAAAGGCTTGTATCTATTCAAATATATTTACAATAAAGTTGTTCATATATTGTTATTATTTTTTCCATGAAAAATTAGAACATAACACTTGCTCAAATCCCACCCTTTTACGACTTGAGCCAAGGTTCGATAAATTACAATACTACTTACAATTAATGAAAGCAAGGGTTCAAAAATGAACTAATTCAAAATAAAACACCATCACAGATAACATAAACCAAACCGAAGGGGAAAAAAAATAAACTTGTCTAGAGATGCTTAAGAACACCTCAATGAAAACCCAAATAATAATAGAAAAGAAGTAGATGAGGAAGGAAAAGGCAACAGGCAAGCAATGATCCAATCCACAATGATCCAATCCACCAAGTAGTATGCTGCTATGTTCCTCATCTTTCTCACTTCCCAAAACAAACCAACCATTGACCTCAAAAACAAATGTTAAAAGGAGGATATATAAGGAGTCATATAAATAGTTGCTGCATACAGGAACTCAATTCTTTTATGAGTAGCCCACTTTCTCACCCTCAGGAACAAAATCTGTCTTAACTGGAAAGACATAAAGCAAACAAATAAAAACCAGACCAGAAAAAAAGAAAAAAGAAATGTAAGACAGATCAACCCATTTTGGAAATATTTGAAGTTTAGGTTCCATAATTCCATTAACATGAACAAAAATGCAATATATTTTTTTCGAGCACTCATTGTAAAAAGTAGATTATGCATCACAACACAAGCAATTACCGAAATAAATTACAGTTTTGATGCATTCTATATAACAAATTACGAGGGACATAGCAGCATACTACTTTGTCACAAACAACCCAAAAGTTATTTGCTCCTGTTCAATCAAACAACCAATAGTTATGATACCACACACCTGACTAACATTAAACAATTTCCCATGGCAAAGACCTGTAATTCCACATAATTATATAGTTATTGCCATGTAATTTATAACTCATAACTTGAGGTTTTATTTGTGTTTACAGTTTGTGTTGAATTCCACCTTAGATTAAATTAGTATAGTGAGCTTAAGTACACGGGAAATAGGAAAAGGAAACATATAAATGTGTTTAATCTCCCATTTCCCATCAAAGTGATCTTTATTCTTTCACTTTTAGGCCCAGTGGCCAGACAAAAAGAAGAGACAAGTCGCCCCCTTTTGTTCCCTGATTTCTGTGACATGGCGACGCTACTATGGCCGCCTACAGATAGCCACAGACTTACGATTGATAGGACAGCGTGAAAAGACAAAGACAGCGGAGCAATCATGAGTGGGGCATGGTAAGCCAAGAGGCCAACAAAGGTATAAAATACATTAATACATACATACTCTCTCTAGCGGTTTCTAAATTGTTCTTTCCAATCTAACTTAATCATCGGAGGGTCCTTAGGAAGGAACCCCACCTCCTGGGTCTTTCCTACCAGACTTAGTGCAGGTATTGTTGGGAATACGAAGTTCGGCTGACTCGTGGAGCATCCAGATCCTGTCTGACCCATTTCTTGTCCGACCAAACTACATCATTAGTTGGCGCCATCTGTGGGAACTCTCCGATTGACAGTTGTGTTCATTGTCGCCGGAGGCATTTCCTCCATCACCCACTTTTTACGTCGGAGTGAATGGTTACGATGAGATCCATGGCTTCGCAACACAATACTGGCAGCCCTCAAGCCGAGTCCCCCAATCCAAACAACCCACCTCCATATTTCATAGAACTTGGTAACAACATCAATCGCTTGGCTGGGCAAAACTAAGCTCTGATCAACGCTTTGTTCTAGCATGATCTACTTACTACGAGAATCCACCGCAATCAAACTAGCTTCATACTAGCAAAGAATGAGGCAACACTGTAACAGCAGAGTCAGACCCAGAGAATTCGCAGGGGGAGATCTAGTCTTAAGGGAGGCAACTCTGGGCACCAAAAACCTAACCGAGGGCAAGCTAGCAGCTAAGTAGGAGGGGCCTTATATTGTCAAATCTCGACCGCACCCAGACACTTACCACATGTAAGTCGACCTTAACAGGACTTCATATCAATGAGATAGACATTCAACTTCAGCTATCTGTGTTGCATATTTTATAAGTTTAAATTAATAGAAAGCAAAAGCCTCAGCTAGATTAAGCATGAAGACCTCAGCCAGACTGAGTCCAAAAGCCTCAGCCAGATTGAGCACGGAGACCTTAGCTAGACTGAGCATGAATACCTCAACTAGACTGAGTCCAAAAGCCTCAGCTAGACTGAGCACATAGATATCAGCCAGATTGAGTCCAAAAGCCTTAGCCAGATTGAGCAAGAAGACCTCAGTCAGACTGAGCACGAAGACCTCAGCTAGACTGAGTCCAAAAGCCTTAGCCTGACTAAGCACGAAGACCTCAGCCAGACTGAGTCTAAAAGCCTCAGCTAGACTGAGCAGGAAGACCTTAACCAGACTGAGTCCAAAAGTCTCAACCAAATTGAGCACGTAGACATTAGCCAGACTAAGTCCAAAAGCCTCAGCCAGACTTAGCACAAAGACCTCAGCCAGACTGCATCCAAAAGCCTCAGCCAGACTGAGCACGTAGACATTAGCCAGACTGAGTCCAAAATTCTTAGCCAGACTTAGCACGAAGACCTCAGCCAGACTGAATCCAAAAGCCTCAGCCAGACTGAGCATGTAGATATCAGCCAGACTGAGTCCAAAAGTCTCAGTCAGACTGAGCACGAAGATCTCAGGCAAACTGAGTCCAAAAACCTCAGCCAGACTGATCACAAAGACCTCAGCCAGACTGAGTCCAAAAAACTCAGCCAGATTGAGCACGAAGACCTCAACTAGACTGAGTTAAACCTTACAGTAAGAACTAATCCATCACCTGACTGTCCAAGGCACCCATCCATGGTATACGACCTTGCGGTCTTGAAAACTCAAAAGCAATAGATAAAAATTCCTTCAAGATGAGCACAAGAACAAATGAAGGAGGTTAATATCATGAAGTGGGACCAAACACTAATACACATTAGTCTACTATGTGGAAGACCATGCGGAAGACTGCCATGCAGAAAACCCTCATGCGAAAGACCACCATATGGAAGACCACCTTGTGGAAGACCATGCGGAAGACCTCCATGCGGGAGACCCCCATGTGGAAGATCGCCATGTAGAAGACCTCCATGTGGAAAACCATACGGGAGACCCCCATGCAGAAGACCACCATATGGAAGACCTCCATGTGGAAGATCATGCGGGAAACCCCCATGCGGGAGACCACCATGTGGAAGACCTCTATGTGGAAGACCATACAGATGACCTCCATGCGGGATACCTTTGTATGGAAGACCATGCGGGAGACCTCCATGTAGAAGACCATGCAGAAGACTACCATGTGAAAGATTGCCGTGTGGAAGACCGTTATGTAGGAGATCTCCATGGAGGAGAGCACCATATGGAAGACCTCTATATAGAAGACCACAAGGGAGGCCACCATGTGGAATACCTCCATGTAGAAGACCATGCCGAAGACCACCATGTGGAAGACCACCGTGTGGAAGACTATGCGACCGCCATGCGGAGGACCACCATATAGAAAACCTCTATGTGGAATACCATGCGGGAGACCCCCATGCTGGAGACCACCATGTGGAAGACCATGCGGGAGACCCTATGAGGGAGATCCCCATGCGAAAGACCACCATATAGAAGACCTCCATATGGAAGATCATGCAGGAGACCTCCATGCGGGAGACCCCCATGTGGAAGACCTCCATGTGGAAGACCATGTAGAAAACCATCGTGTGGAAGACCATATGGAAGAGCGCTATGTGGGAGACCTCCATATGGAAGACCTTGTGGGAGACCACCATGTGGAAGACCTCCATGTGGAAGATCATGCAGGAGATCTCCATGTGAAAGACGATACAGAAGACCCCTATGCAGGAGACCACCATATGAAAGACCATGCGGGAGACCACTATGCGGGAGACCACCATGCGGGGAGACCTCTATATGAAAGACCATGCAAAAAAGCTCCATAGAGAAGACCATGCAGAAAACCCCCATGTGGGAGACCACCATATGGAAGACCTCCATATAGAAGACCATGCGAGTGACTTTCATGCGGAAGACCACCATATGAAAGACCTCCATGTGAAAGATCATGCGGGAGACCCTCATGTGGAAGACCACCATATGGAAAACCTCTTTGTGAAAGACTATGCGAGAGACCCCCATGCGGGAGACCTCCGTGTGGAAGACCATGCAGAAGACCCCCATGCGAGAGACTACCATATAGAAAATCGCCTTGTGGAAGACCATACAGAAGACCTCTATGCAGGAGACCCCCATGCGGGAGACCGTAATGTGGAAGACCATGCTGGAGACACCTATGCGGAAGACCACTATGTAGAAGACCTCCACGCGGAAGACCGCCATGCAGATGACCTCCATGTGGAAGATTATGCGAAAGACCCCTATACGGGAGACCGCCATGTGGAAGACCATGCGGAAGACCGCCATGCGGGAGAACCCCATGTGGGAGACCATCATCTGATCAGTAACTTGAATCCCATTAACATTAAACGGAGACTGAGTGTCACGACCCAACTCCCACCCCACAGGATTAGAAACGTGATAGGTCGGTAATCTCAAATTACTAAAGGCCTACTTAACAGTCAATAGTATAAGGGGTTGGCGGAAGCCAATAATATCATAAAACACCAAAGAGTTGTGAAACTAAAATGAACAAACAACTCTGTATGCATCACTGTACAATCATCTACTACCTTATCATATACATGTACCAGTACCAGGAGCATATACAATACTTAGGGAATTATTCCCTTACGTAATATACCTACGCAATATATATAAAACAAAAGAACTCAGACATAAGACACATGATCACTTAACAAAAAGGTGAATTCATCACCACCTAAAAAGCTTGGAGTTAGACCTAAAATGGTTGGCTTGACAACAAGAAGATAGGTTGACACCTTCAAGTCCTTTCTTGAGCATGATCACCTATATGGAAGATACAAACTGTGAGCCAAAGCCTAGTGAACAACAATGTGTAAAGAGGTTAGAAATAAAGTCCATTTGAATATTAAAGTCAAGTCACATAGAAGTAGCATGTTCATTAAAACATAGCAATCATATGAATCCATAGGCACAGATGTTAGTCCTTTAATTATAATCATATAACTCAATATCTTATATGCATCTGGCCATGGTACTATTACCCCCAGGCGAGGGCCACGTGAATCTAGGCCACGGTATTGTTACCCCCGGGTGAGAGCTACGTGAACATGGACCACGGTACTATTACTCCCGGGTAAGGGCTATGTGCATATAGACCACGGTATTATTACCCCCGGGTAAGGGCTACATGTATAAAACCACGGTATTATTACCCCTGGGTATGGGCCACGAGAGCATATTTCATGGAATGGACTCATTCATTTACTACATAATGTCATTGTAGAACAACTTTAACAAAAACAATACTACTCATAAAGAAGTATAACTCAAACATAGTTTTACTACATTGTCACTCACAGTTAGTTCCGTGTAGCACGTGGCTAGGATGAGGTGTCTGACCTACATAGACACATGAAAGCACAATAGTTTAATATATAATCCTACCGTTTAGTTAGTTACTAACTTATCCCTTACTTATTATCTTTTTTTTTGTAATCCAATCTCATTCATTCTTTCCTCTCGTGTTCATACAATGCACATGCACATGGAAACAGTTAAAAATCATGCAATTAGAGGCCCGAAAGTCAGAGAAAACAGAGGAAGAATCAAACTCCGTTGGCCTTGTTGGCCGCACATGCGGTGGTCTGGCCGCATGAGCGGGCGAACTTCAGAATGCATCTTGGCCGAAATAGGGTTGGTCACTCGTGCGGTGGCCCAGGCCGCACGAGCAGTTTGGGTTAAAGCTCAAGCCGAAAATATACTCTAAGTTTGAAGTCTCATTTTTGCAAATTTAACGTCAAATCCATGCAAATCAAAACCCAAAACTCACAAAAACAAGTTGAATAACCAAGTTCTAACTTCAACTTCAACCATGATTTCAAAACAAAACTCATTTGCCATACAACAAGATCAAACTCTAGCCTTTGGGGCAAAAAATCGTCAACTATGCAAATATTCACTTCCCAACTCAAAATCCATGGAGGTTCATCTTCTATCTTCAAGGATCATGTAAGAAACAAGGAAGTAATGATGAAAGATGACATGTATGGAAAGATTTTGAGTTATTCCTACAAGTTCTTCCTTTAGAGTTTATAATAATAACTTATACCCATTTCTTCACACTTTCATGATGAGAACAACTTAAATTCATGAGTTTTAGGGAAAAATTCTTACCTTAAGTTGATGATTTGATGAAAATTATTCAATTCCCATTTCTTCTCCTTGAACCCTAGAATTCTTTTTCTATTCTCTAGAATTCTCTCAAGTCTCTCTACAACATACCCTCTCTCTCTCTCTCTCTCTACTCCTCTCTTGTGGACTTGAGTTATTAAATTAATTAAATAGTCCAAAGTTTCTTTAATCAAATTGTAAGCTTAAACTAAATTCAATCCAATTCCCTTAATCAAGTCACTCTTATTCGAGTCTAATTAACTTAACCCAAACTTAATCTTGCCAAGGGGAATTAGGCTCTATCCACCTAGTCTAACATTTAATTGTTAACCTTCTAATTTTCTTTCAGGTCTTTCAATTAAACGAATCAAACAGGTCTTTTCATACACTACCATATCTGTTACTAAAAACATACATCAAACACTTCATGGCACAAAATTTTCATACATTTTTTTTAGCAGATAAATCAAATATAGGCACATAATTAAAGTAACCTCTACTTTAGCTGGTAATCAAAGAGGCGGGTGTTACATGGGGCCCTTAAGATGTTTGGTCCTCTAAACTTAAATACCTTCTTCCGTGAAGAATGTAGGGTCTAATGGAAAGAGATCTGGGTATCTTTGCTTCATATCATCTTCTCTTTCCCAAGTTGCATACATGCCACTGTGATTTTGCTAATCCATTTTCACTAACGGTATTTCCTTGTTCCTCAATTTCTTGATCCGACGATTAACAATATGAATGGGTCTTTCTTCATATGTATAATCGTTAGTCAAAAGGACATGAGTTGGCTCAATCACATGAAAAGGATCTCAAAGATAAGCCCATAACATAGACATGTGAAACACGTTATGCATGTGCTTCATAGTTGGGGGAAGTGCCACTTGATACGCTACCTGGTTAATCTTCTCAATGATTTCATATGGCCCAATGTACTGGGGTGCTAACTTGCCTTTAGCTCCAAAATGAGTTTGCCTTTTTATCGGTGTCACTTTTATGAAAACATGATCACCCACTTCATATTCTCTATCCTGTCTACGCACACGAGTCTCCTAATTTCCTTAGGCCTAGTGGCCAGACAAAAAGAAAAGACAAGCTGCCTTCTTTTGTTCTGTGATTTCTGTGACATGGCAACGCTGCTATGGCCAACTACAGATAGCCATAGACTTATGGTTGATAGGACAGTGTGAAAAGACAAAGATAGCGGAGCAATCATGAGTGGGGTACGGTAAGCCAAGAGGCCAACAAAGGTATGAAAGACATTAATACATATATACTCTCTCTAGCGATTTCTAAATTCTTCTTTCCGATCTAACTTAATCATCGGAGGGTCCTCAAGAAGGAACCCCACTTCCTGGGTCTTTCTTATCGGACTTGGTGCAGGTATTGCTGGAAAGACGAAGTTCAGCTAACCCCGTAGAGCATCTAGATCCTATCTGACCTGTTTCTCATTTGATCAAACTGCATCATCAAGTTGTATTTCTTTGATTTCTTTGTATTTACTACTTTTCTTTTCAGGTTGTGATGGATGCTATGAATAAGCCTCGAAATATTGTCTATAAAGGACTCACAGATTTGGTGACAGAGTAAGACCAGTTTTTCTAAGTTTTCATGTTCATGGTGTAAATGCTAGAAATAGCATAGGCTGACAATTTCATGATTTTGTATGTATAACCTTACGTAGGAACCTTAAGGTTATACATTTGAATTGAGCCAATAATTCATTTGAAAAGATTAATTACATTTGAATTTTAATTACAATCTCTGAACCACTTGGAGGATAGCACAGATAGCTTCCTACTGCATAATTGAATTTGTATAAACAAATGACACGTGATTAGGACACTTAGGGTTGAAGTTAGAGGCAAAAATGCCAAAAACATAGCAAAAAAGGCCCGTTTAAGGGGCGAAAACTCACAACAGCCTCTGAACCACTCGTCGGGCAGCACAAGTAGTTTCTTCGAGCTTAAAACATAAAAAGACAATAAATTTCAAGTTGTATGTATTTTTTTTAAATTTTTTTTATAATTGTAAATGCAAATGCTATTCAATAAAATATTAATGGATATTATGTTTTTGTTACAAATTGATGATGTTGGCATGGATACAGTGATGTTTTTGGGATAGATTGATGATGTTTGCATGGTCGCAATTTACATTATATTTTTGTTTATAGAAAACATGTACACCTAATATGTTTTGTTATTAAGATTTTATTTAATTTGGATTTTAATTGTTGGTTTGGATAGTATATGTATTTGTTGGATTATTTATGGATTCTTATTTTCTTTGGTATGTACGGTTAATAGTTAAAGTTTTGTATATGGTTGGAAATTGAATGCAACAGGTTGTCGAGAAAGATTTGTATTGAATGGTTGAGGATTGATTGAATGAATGAATGAATGAATGAATAATTTTGTATATGCACAGGTTATAGGTGGCGCAAAAAATATTACAGAACAAATTATAAAAAACTAAATGAGACATTTTGGCGACTAAACAAATATCACAGGTTGGCTTTTAGCTACTAAAATTTTAGTTGCCAATTGTAAAAAAGTGAAACTTTTGGCTATTAAACTTTTAGTCGCCAATTGTAAAAAAAAGACTTTTGGCTACTAAATTTTTAGTCTACAATTCTCAAAAAGTAAAACTTTTGGCTACCAAATAGTTAGTAGGCAAACATACATACTAAATTCGTTACTAAATAATTTAGTCACTAAAAATAAAAATATATATATTTAATTATTTAAAAAAAATATATGGTGACTAAAGTTTTAGTCGTCAATAGGTCACTTTTGGCTGCCAAAAAATTTTTAATCGCCAATTGTTTCCTCGACGAGGTATTGGCGATCAAACGGGTGACCAAAATATTAGTTGACAAAAGTGATTGGCGACTAAAATAAGGCTTTTGGCGACTAAAATTTTATTCACCAAAAGTGAAATTTCTTATAGTGTAGATTATTTATATTATTATATAAAGTATATATATATTTGAAGCTTTGTCACCAATTTTTATATATCTAAAATACTTTTAATCAAATAACTACATGTTTTTCTCTTTGTGTGAGCTGAGAATAAAAATTATGCATTTGGCAAACAGAGTGTACTAGACCCATTAATCATGGAGTTGAACCCAACCAAGCCCATTAGATAGCGAAAGTTCAAACGTCGATAAGCCTGTTCGCCGATCAAGTGATACGCTGAATAGGTGATACCAGCAAAATCGGCGGACATCCAAGCCGAGTATCAGAGTGGGCCCAGGTTATCCCTGTCTA